CATCCATCCATCCATCCATCCATCCATCCATCCATCCATCCATCCATCCATCCATCCATCCATCCATCCATCCATCCATTTTCTCCTGCTTGTCCTTGTCATGGTTGCGATTGGGCCGGTGCCTATCTCTGGCAGTCTACGGGCGAGAGGCGGGGTTAAAAATATTACAGTTAAAATTGCGTGATTCGATACATTCGTAGTCAGTATTTAATTTATTATAGTATTTTATTTATATTTATTTGGTTAGGATAGTTTCTTCATCCTGCCTTAAAACATGCTCTACTGAATTTTCTGTGTTGGAAATTAATCTTCTCCAATGCACCCTTTTATCAATTTACCATTATTTTACACATAATATTTTGTGGCTTAGAGGTAGATGGTTGAAAAAATGTTTTAGGTATTTATGTTGTTTAAAAAACAGCAGTTTCTTTGAGTGTTTTCACAATAGATTTTTTTTCCCCTCAGGTCAGTTTTTTTATGCAGTAAGTTTTGTCTCTTTCACAGAAAAAGCTGAATCAGTAGCAGACGCTCCAAATGTATACTGCAAATTAATGCCACGAGTGGAAGAAGCAAATGAATGCACAAACATGGCTTTGTAATCCTTTAAATGTCAGTGAAGATTATTTGGGCCAATTTAAAATTTTAAGGCTTTAAATTTAGACATAAAATCTTGATTGGAAACATGTTGCTTACATCATTTTTATTTTATTAAATCTACCAAAAAAAAAATAAAAAATATATATATATATATATATATATATATATATATATATATGTGTTCTTTTTTTCAAATACTTTCAAAATCATTAGCATTCATGTTTCAGCAGAGGTTTGGGAACAAAGCTATGTTAAAAAACATGTTCTAGCATTTGTTTTGGTTTTTTTCAATGTGAGGCTCACAGCAGTGGCTTGACCTTAGCATGCTGGGACAAAAGTCTGAGGTCATGTGTATGATTTCAATATATGCTTGGCTAGTAATTGGAGTAATAAGAAGCTCGTTAGATCCTGTAAATGCTTTGTGAAAGCCGGTGATTGGCTTTGATGTTCTTTTACAAAAAAAAAAAAGGAATAAATAAGACCAACTGTAGTGACCCTGTCTTCAATATAAATTGGTGTAATTTCTGAAAAGTTATCCAGTTACATGAATATTTTCCTGAATGTTTTATAATCTACTTAGCTTAATTTTCTCATTTACTCTTGTTTGATACATTACACAAGAAATAACAAAGTTCTGCAACTGAACTGGTTATTATTTTCTAATTAAACATATTTTTCTGGATCATAGAATGCCAAGAGCGCAGCTAAAACATGTTGCATAGAAATTAGTCATTTCCCTCCCTTAGATGTATATTTATAGGATGTTACTGTTCTCTCTCTGCTTTTCTGTTCATCTCTATCTATACGAGTGTACCTTGGACAAATTTAGCCTATTTGTGCTGCAGGCGGTCACATTTTAGTGAGGTAGGATATAGATTCTCCTATATTTCGTTTCAGCCGTAACATGATAAAAAGAGCTGAGACTGATTATCCGACAAGGATATTTTAAAGAAATCAAATGTAGGAGCATCCATAAACATTTACTCTAGCTGCTGCTCATTTTAAGTTCAACATTTACATCTGGCAAGAGAAGCCAGCAGGGGCCAACTAACAGACAGACAGACAGACAGACTCGAGACAGAACTGTTTCACTCGACTGTGGGCAGGTGTTGCAGTTTATAGAGCGCAGCAAAGTAGCTGTATTTATTCTAAGCCAAGGTTTGGCCAGCAGTGGGAACCAACACATGTGGAAAAGGAACACAGAAATAGTCTGAATAAATTGCTTGTCTGTAGATGTGGATGTAGGTGCCTCGTGTCAATGTCCCTGTGGTGGCTTCAACCTCTGCCATGCCTCTGTGCTTCACTTAGTTTGGTTTGCGGGCACACAGCTGCCCTTCTGAAGTGTTCATTTTACTCATTTTACACAACACAAGGTAAACGGATGATACCTGTGTACAATGGATGAACAATGTTTTCAATTTCTGCTTATTCTACTCAGTGTTTGAGTTTAAGGTTGGTTCAGTATGCTTTATAAACTAAAGCAAGGTTGAATGTACTTGGAGTTTTACCATTCCTCGACTTCAATGGGGTTGAAAGCTTAGTGAATGTCTGCTTTTCATTAATTTTTTTATTATTGAATACATCTTGATATATAATCAATGATGTCTGATTAGCATCTCTTTTAGATGACACAAACTAAATACTTTAAATCCTAAAAATCTGAACAGATTGCCTAAAGATAAATTTAGTAATTTCATACAGAAAAAAAATCTTTAAAATAGCCTTTACAGTATATTTGACCCTTTATGAATAAAACATATTTTAAAAGTACACTGACCACTTAGTAGATCAGGGTTAGGGTTAGAGTCTATAAGCCTGTAGCCTACTTTTCCTGCGCTGTTCTGGTGATGTGACGTCCAGAACTTCCATGTTAAGTGGCTCCAATCTAGCCACAATCAAAGCATCATGTTCAAAATTAATTTTGTGTTTACACAGAAGTGACTGGCATCCAGCTCAACTCAGATGCTAATGGAAACTGTATGTATTATAAGCATGAGCTACAAGAACGGGCAGAAGAATGCTTCAGTGCTATGTTTTGGCCACAGGTGGCAGTATCATTAGAAAAACTTGCAATGCCTATTTAAAAACCTGCTTTCAATTTTTAGAACTTATTATTCTTAT